CAGGGAATCTGCTCTGCGTTCCGAATCAGAAACGAGGGGAGCAAAGATGGAGGGGAGCCAAGCTAGACAGGGGCTCCCCGGCGTGTACCCGAGCAGGTCGGGTGAAACAAACACTCCCCGCGATCACCGCGCCGGCGGGGGGAGGGAGGGGAGGGAAAACGAGCGTATTAAATGTCGTGCGCAGGCGGCAACAGGACTGGGGCACACCACAGAGGAGGGGATAAAGTTACAAACAGTGAAAAACAATCGAAAACTAAAACACAAAGTCCCTGTTAAGCCACTAGGGCTAGGGAGAAAAACACCAAAGGCAAAACAATTATAAACAATATAAACAATAAGAAAACAAAATATCACAGAGCACAAACCAATAGTACTTAACTGGTCTGAGAGCAGCAAAGAAAGAGGGGGATTGTGGGTGCTTCAAGCATATTATAGTCACTTCCTGTGTTATGTGATTGGCTGTTTGAGCACTATGTTTTTTTTTGTTCATTTCAGTTACTTATTCATCTCTATTTCTTTGCTGCTGAGAGTAATAAAGAAAGAGATATGCATAATAGGAGCCTCCGTATCTTTAATAAAATTATAATTCCAACAAAAAGATTATAGCCACATTCTACTTCCATCAAAGCTGCTCCATTATGTTTTAACCCCTTACCCCTTATCTGTGACATGTCATGATTCCCTTTTATTCCAGAAGTTTGGTCCTTAAGGGGTTAAAGAGTTGTATAAATTTGGATGTATATCTTTCTGTGGAGCCTACTAACAGGCTTTATAAAAATGCAGACAATACTATTTTCCCCATTCCCCCCTTCCTGTGTATTTTACTCGTCCACCCTTTATTAGAAATATACCGATACAATGGACTTCCCTGAAGTGGAACGCATGACGTCACCGCGTTTGGAATGCAACAACGGCAAACCAACGCAAAGCAGGAATTAATCACGAGAAGATCGAGAACAGCCGGAGAGGAACAGATTTTAAACTTGAATATTTGATGACTGTTTTTCTTTACTTATGTGTAAGTAAATAAATGTTCTATTATACTTTTAATATTCACTTACCTTATTTTGCCACATTCTATCTTCCACATGATTGAGACCCACAACATCATGATGCAGGAAGTGAGAAGACATACATCTAGAGACTTCTTAAGGCTCAAAATCTGATAAAGTGTGAGTGACCCATTGGCATAATATTGTTCACCATACTGGGCATCACAGTGTTACATAATATTTTATTGTTCTTGTTTCCCCAAGCTGAATTTACCCTATATATTGTATCTGTATTCATTGAAGATTTGAGGAGATCTTTGGGTTGTTCCACTGCTAGAAGGGAAGTTACGTGTATTTATGCACTTCAGCTCACTTAAGCATTTTATTATTCTTAATTAGTGCAATTCTATCTATATGCACTTTTTTTTGATAAATGCACTTTAAATTCTGTGACATTGTGAAAGGATATTTTTGAAATGCAACTTGTAAATGTGGGTTGTATTAAGCACTATATGATGCCCTGCTTTGCGATGAATTATGTACACTGATCAGCTAGAACTTTGAACAATTTAAACAAATATTGTGTAGTTTACCCTTGTGCTGCCAAAACAGCTATGACGTATCAAGGCATAGACTTTGAACATGTACGGTGGTATCTGGCACTAAGAGATTAGCAGCAGATTATTTTAGTCCTGCAAGTGGGGCTCAATGCATCAAATTTGTTGTTCCAGCACATCCCACAGATGTTCAATCTGATTGAGACCTGGAGAATTTGGAGGCCAATGCAACACTTTGAACTCTTTGTCATGTTCCTCAAACCATTTGTGAACAATTTATGCAGTGTGCATTATGCTGCTGAAAGAGGCCAATGACATTAGTGAAAACCATTGCCATGAAGGGGTATATGTGGTATGCAACAATCTTTAGGTAGGTGGTACGTGTCAACATAGCCACAGGACATTGCCCAGAGCTTTAACATTTCTGGCAAAGGCATACATTCTTCCCTTTAGGAATCCTGCCGCCATTTCTTCCCCAAGTAAATGACGTACACGCACCCAGCCATTCACCTGATCTAAAAGAAAACATGATTTATCAGACCAGGCAACCTTCTTCCATTGCTCTATGGTCCACCAGTTCTGACACTCATGTTCCCATTGAAGCTGCTTTCAGCAGTAGATAGAGGTCATCATGGGCACTCTGACCGGTCTGCGGCTAGGCAGTCCTATGCGCAGTAAACTGTGTTGCACTGTGTTCTGACACCTTTCTATCATGGCCAGCGTAAAGTTTTTCAGCAATTTGAGCTACATTGGTTTTTCTGTGTAATTGGACCAAACTGGCTAGTCTTCAATCCCCATGCATTAATGTGACTCGGGTGTCAATGCTCATGACGCGGCTTGCATTACTTTGGGTAGGTACAAATCACTGTATACAGAAACACAACACTTGACTCAGTCATCTAACCATCACTATTGGCCCTTGTGAAAGTCACTCAGATCTTTTCACTTGCCCATTTTTCCTGCTTCCAACACACAAAAATTCAAGACCCGACTGTTCACTTGCTGTCTAATATATCCCATCCCTTGACAAGTGCAATTGTAATGATATAATCAAAGTTATTCACTTCACCAGTCAGTGGTTTTAATGTTGTGGCTGATCAGTGTACACATTACTATGATTTTGCATTTTTGTCTTACAAGATTAAACAGTTTATTGAAGATTTTGTTAATACAACAATAGTAATTGTAGCAGAGCTCCCTGTACCCTGGCTGGGTACCTCCTAGCTGGAAGCGGGAAAAACTGACGCTCTTCTGCCCCAGTCACTGTGGCTTGACTGAGGTGCTTCTGGAGCTTTTCCACCCAACCAAGCTGCAGCTCTCCTTCCAGGCAGGTATCGACCCCTCTGCCGCCCTTCTTCCAGACAGGTATCATCCCCTCTACCTATTCCACTGCAGTCATTCTTCCAGGCAGGTATTGTCCCCTCTGCCTATTGCACTGCAGTCTTTCTTCCAGGCAGGTATCCACTTCTGCCTGCAATGTGATTTCTATTGCCTTTACAAGGACACTTGCGGCTCTCAGGCCTAGCTCTCTTGATTTATTCCAAGGCTAGAGGGATCATGCAGCTAGTCAACAGGTACGACAACTCTGTGGATGGGATCCCTAAAAATCCACACAGGACACCGTTCTACATATTATATATATATTAGAACTAACATACAATTTTTTTTTTTTTTTCTTGGGACTGGCCCAAATGTTCCTTACATGTAACTTATGGGGACAATTGAATAAAATACCAATAATCAAAACATATCAGAAAACATACAGGGAATTGTAATAACACAATACCATATCTGCAAATGGGTGGGGAAGACAAGAATTAGCAATATGCAAATCTACCTAAATATCAGAGCACACAAAACAATTAAAGGAACACTATAGTCACCGAAATTACTTCAGCTAAATAAAGCAGTTTTAGTGTATATATCATTCCCCTGCAATTTCACTGCTCTATTCACTGTCATTTAGGAGTTAAATCACTTTGTTTCTGTTTATGCAGCCCTAGCCACACCTCCCCTGGCTATGATTGACAGAGCCTGAATGAAAAAAAAAAAAACTGGTTTCACTTTCACACAGATGTAATTTACCTTAAATAATTGTATCTCAATCTCTAAATTGAACTTTAATCACATACAGGAGGCTCTTGCAGAGTCTAGCAAGCTATTAACATAGCAGGGGATAAGACAATCTTAAATAAACAGAACTTGCAATAAAGAAAGCCTAAATAGGGCTCTCTTTACAGGAAGTGTTTATGGAAGGCTGTGCAAGTCACATGCAGGGAGGTGTGACTAGGGTTCATAAACAAGGGGGTTTAACTCCTAAATGGCAGAGGATTGAGCAGTGAGGCAGCAAGGGCATGTTCTATACACCAAAACTGCTTCATTAAGCTAAAGTTGTTCAGGTGACTATAGTGTCCCTTTAACAATAAACAGACACTAGGAATGCACTGAAATGAAAATCCTGGGCTGAAACCTAAAATTCAGAATGCCCTTGGCCTAAAAACGAAACCAAAAATTACTTTTTTCCCCCCAAATGATTTTAAAATAGTTTTTTTCTATAATTTTACCCATAAATCTATGCTAATATAGCTATGGCACCTATTTAAAACTGCTCTGTAACACCCTCCCCCCTGCAAAATTATGATTTGATAAATATTTTATCTTTATGAAATCATAATTTTGCAGGGGGAGGGTGTTACAGAGCAGTTTTAAATAGACTGTATACAAAATCAACACATATACTAAGACAAAAAAGGGGACTATGCATTAGTAGGATATCTACACCTGACAAAACTTGACAAAAGGCAGACCTACCTCTGTCAAGTTTTGTCATTTCCGCCGGCTGAATAGAAAAAAACATGGTCTATGAAGGATCCAGCGGTGAATGTGAGGCTTTAAGACACCTTCATATGTATAGAAAACCTTGTATAGCTTCCTACAAGTGTACAATAAATCTCTGTTGATGCATATATATGAAAAATAAAGTGTGTATGTAGAGAGAAAAACATTGTACATATTTAGACAGCTACCTGTAGGTGTCCTATGACAAGTCTCTGTAGATACATATATGTTAACTATTACTATTAGCATTTATATAGTGTCAACATATTCGGCAGCGCTTTATAAAATGGGGACATTTGACATATAAAATTAAAAGACATGCTCAATGGACATTACACAAGAAATATATAAAGAGAAAGAGAGAGAACTTCCTATATATCGACATCTACCTATAGATGAAAAATAGATTTTCATATACAGCTACCTATAGAATTACAGTGAGCAGGCTTTGGGGGAGGGGCTCAGTAAGTAGGAG